AATCCTACCTTCTCTCACGTAAACCCCTAAAACCTTGTAGCGTCAGCCTAGTTGCCCACCCTTTAATTTTTCTGTTATATAAGTAGACATAAGTTATGATTTACTTCATGAAGTTAATATAACTATTTCTCAGATTATATCAAAAAGTTTCTATATTTAAAGTTCTCAATCTTTGCGTGTCTCTCTAACCTGTTACGAAAAAGTTAAGTCTATGATATTAAACTCAAATGAACAATAGCTCGTGTATCGTGACATTTGGTTGCGTCTGTTTTAAATACATCTCGCGGGAGTATCTATTAGCTATAGAATACAATATTTAGCCATTCATGATGTCGAAGAACCCACCTGAAATGTATAGTAGAGACTGCTGATATTGGTAGTAAACACTTGTTTAACACAAAACAACGTTTCGACCTGAGGAACCCACCTGAAATGTATAGTAGACTGCTGATATTGGTAGTAAACACTTGTTTAACACAGAACAACGTTTCGACCTGAGGAACCCACCTGAAATGTATAGTAGAGACTGCTGATATTGGTAGTAAACACTTGTTTAACACACAAAACAACGTTTCGACCTGAGGAACCCACCTGAAATGTATAGTAGAGACTGCTGATATTGGTAGTAAACACTTGTTTAACACAGAACAACGTTTCGACCTGAGGAACCCACCTGAAATGTATAGTAGAGACTGCTGATATTGGTAGTAAACACTTGTTTAACACAGAACAACGTTTCGACCTGAGGAACCCACCTGAAATGTATAGTAGAGACTGCTGATATTGGTAGTAAACACTTGTTTAACACAGAACAACGTTTCGACCTGAGGAACACACCTGAAATGTATAGTAGAGACTGCTGATATTGGTAGTAAACACTTGTTTAACACAAAACAACGATTCGACCTGCTTACATCATCATCAGGTTAACTTTTTAACACCAATATCAGCAGTCTCTACTAAATATTTAGCAATCCACGCTTAAAGTAATGTACGCTTATTATAAGTATGTAGACTTGTTGAAAATCTTGAATATTTCATAGACAAGCCTATAAGATTAGGATGTTCTTGGTTTATGTAGCAAGACTATGTTTAGAAGAATTGGGTTTGAAACCATTTTACATGGTGTTAGCTGTATGCACTTTCTTAATAATGAAAACGTGTCGCTAGTACACTTAACCGCATACTTTTAGTGGACCAGACACTGTACAGTTTCTCGCTCTTCCTTGGAGTACTTGATAAACTTGCCCCACCCACACGGTTTTAATGTTTATAAAAGCAACTTGTGACCCGGGTGTTATGTGTGCAGGTGTGGATTAATTTCGTTGTTTTAATATTAACGATGACGTAAAGGGTATTTTTTTCGCCTCACTCTTATAGTGTGCATCTCTAGACAAAGTAAACACTTGTAGAAGTGAACATAAACAGCTTTACAGCATGTGTGAGTAATCATCTATACTGTATTAATTCTGTGTAGGCACGATCTATACTAACTAAATTACTTTGAAATTGGAATGTATTACAGAACATGGTTAGTGGGAGAAAATTCACATATTGAACGAGGCAGTACAAAGACATTTGTACTAAAATTTGTGTAATGTACTTCTACAATGTGATGGAAACCAAGGTCGCGGTTTTAGATGTGTTTATATTATCAGAGTACGTCACGTGTTATCAAATAATTTTAGGGTTTAAGAAGCTAGTGAGTAGCGCTGTTAATTATAATAATTTATCAGTAAAGGCAACGAATAATGCACTAACACGTCAACCACATTATATCTGCTATATCCAGTACCGAAGAGGCTTTTCGTTCAATACCAGGGCTCATCAGGCCGGCTGGAATACGCCATCCATAGCAATGGCCGAAGCGCTATTTATTGTACTAATGCCAGTGTTTTCAGTCTGTTTAATTTGTCTTGTGCTTGTGTATATGAATATCACGGTATATACTGTATATTTTCCACCTCGAACGTACTTCATACAAACATAGAAAGAAGGACTCGTATAAACGTGTATTTTTATGAGGTCTTCACTCAGTGTTAATAATAAACTTGCCCCTTTTTTATATGGATTGAGAAATCAATTAAGCTTTTTCTATGAATTATTTCGCCCGTGTGCTATTTATTATCTTGGCTTTGTTTGGTAGTGATATTTGTACTTGGAAAGTTACTTTGTTTGTCGATTATGGTGAGCTAATTGAAGTAGATTTGACGTTGATTTTCAAACATAACTTCTAAACCTATATGTGTATATCGAATATTATTGATACGAAATTAATGAAAATAGGTTTGAAATCATTAAGTGAATTCTTAATTGTCAGATTGAAATAACGGCGTGTTGCTGTTCTTGTGATATTCCCAGGTAAAACTAGTCAAAAGGTAAGTAAACTCTACATAATCAGCAGATTTGGAAATGTGTTCGAGTCTTACATTTTCTGTCCAAGTTTATTTTATTATTAACACTACAAGTTTAGAAGTTGAGAAATCAAGAAATAAATATAAGACTGGCCAGCTTCTAAATTATCACTGACTGTTGAAGCACAGGAAGAAAGTCTTCACAGGACAAAACTGCGACATTGTATCAATACTAACCTATTAAGTGAGGCTGAGGTTCTAGTGCAGTATCCCACAGTTCTGAATTACCTACGTTAGTGGTCGTTCCCTTGACAAAAATGTAAGGGGGGGGGGGGATTAACGCTTATTTCATACTTTGAACTACTC